TTATCTGTTCTACAACTTCTATTTTAGACATAGATAATTTTTATAAACTTCAGCATTTCATGGATTACTGTGCAAACAAACCTGAAATGCCCAGAGCTATAATTTTAAAAATATTTTATGGGGAAAACCCCAAAACTATTAACAAAACAGATTTCTTCATAACAGCAAATTGGTGAGACCACCTACCAAGTATATTTTACAGTATATCCCAAAAGGCAACAGAAAGTCAATCCAACGGGAAAAGTTATACTTGACATGTATTGCAAGTTTTTAGTCAATCCTTCTATTGTTATTAAGGTTTCGCATTTCACTGAATGGATTTTTAAGAAAGCAAATGCTTTTGGGATAATACAGTCCAATATTTGCCACTAAATTAGCACTGAATAGCCAATAATCTAAAGGAGTAATGTCCAGCCTCTGTATTTTCCATAGGCCACACTCACTCCCTCCTCACTGTTCAAGAATCAGGGAAGTTTGGACTGATATTCCCTCATGCTAGAAGTGAGCTAACAGTCCCAGGAAAGCACCAAATCCCATGATGGTTCTGCATCTTAATGACAGCACAGTGCCCAAATCAATAAATTCAGGGCTCCTGAGAAGACAATTAAATTGCATGAGATACGTGTTCTCTCAAGTCCCCTGGTCTTGGCCCCAAGCACAAGCTAGCAAGAGATGCTGGATGGAGACTCTGAAACTCCACCTACAGATATGCACCACTTCGAGTCTCAGGAATGGGACTGAGAACCCATTCACGTTTCCAGTCCAATCTAAACTGATTCCACCAGTTGCTACCCAGCCTTCCCTGCCATTTTAATAGTTCAATTACAGTTTATTTTGACTTGTCTTCACTGAGAAGGGAAGAATTATGATCCAACTTGTTATACAAAAAATTTTCTATTAAGGAGTATGCCCAAAAATTACTTTCCACAACATGCTTAAGTAAAATGAACTTCATGCCATCAGAGCACACCACTCATTTGCTGAACATCACCTCAAAGCATATGCTTCCTTCAAAAGGCCTAAGGGGTTTTGTTTTTCACTTAAGAATCTTCCTTTAGATTGGTTATTTCAGCATTTTTTGAGCTGTTATCTCAAGGCAGATTATGACCGTTAAAGCATATTCTCCCTTCAAAAGGCCTAAGGGGTTTTTTCACTTAAGAATCTTCCTTTAGATTGGTTATTTCAGCATTTTTTGAGCTGTTATCTCAAGGCAGATTATGACCGTTTAATAATCAGTACTTCATAAAAATCAATGCATTTGCATTTAGTACCTTTCAAAAGAATTTGTAATTACAGATTATTGTATTTTTCAAGTTAAAAAAAATCTGAATTAAAAGTGGAAAAGAGGAAAAATGCATTTGGTATAACATTTTAAAAGACTACAGTATACTTCAGATCAGCATGCTCCTCAAAGAACACATACTATAAAATCCTATTGGATTATGGTTAAAATTAAATTAACGTTAACATTTAGTTCATATTGTCTTCTTGTCATCTATTTTAACCTTTTGTTCTAATAAAAACCTCCAGTTTATCACATCTTTATGTCCAATTGGATAAAACAGATGTGGACAATAAAACAACTTAAGGTCAGGAATTTTCTAAGTAAACCATAGTAATCTATATTTTTCTTAGGCAATAAATACTATTAAGTATACTTGAATCACCACCAACTTTCCCAAGATTTCAATGTGCTTCATCTAATGAGCACACTGGACAGAACTACAACAAAATTAACTCACAAGCAAAATGAATTTTATTTTTTTTTAAGTGCCCAATAGCTGCCCTTCAAATGACTGAGGTGATAAATGCAAACGCAGTTAGACAAGCTAGATTCTGGTGTCAGTGTGTTTTCTCTTATTTAAATGGAATAGTAAGGCTTTGCTATCTTTAAGTATTAAAATTGTATCTCGCATGAAAATTAAGCAGTTTAGACTGAAATTTCAGGAATAACATAAAAACTCAGTAAAGTTAGTGCACTGTAGCTTTCAATTTCATATCCTTTCCAAGCTTATTTGTTTTACCACAGCATACAGCAGAAAGTCAGGACTTCACTGCGCTTTCTAGTCAAACAGACCAAAGACAGTTAAAAACTTAAGTACATGTGTACACAGAAAAAATTATAAACTCATTGGCCAGATGAGGAACAAGAAAAATTAATCACTTCCAGCACATGGGCAGTACCTTCAAGCAGAAACGCTGCTTGGCCACATCTACATACCATGTTTAGGAAACAAATTGGGACCATTCCTTTTCTAACAAAATTTTGTGTTTATTGTATAGCTAGAGTCAATTACTACCACGTATGGTGAAACAAAAATCACCGCCTTTACTGTTGAGCTGTATACAATCAACATGTCCAGGCAGCCTTAAGAAAGCTTTTATTAAGAGCAGAATTCAGCAGCCTGTCATCAGCTACAAAAGGAATTCTTCATGAAATCTTTAAAGTGTGCCCAAATTCAACATTTCAGTATTTCTTTTTTAGGACTTAAAGGCTTGGTTCATGGGTATTTAAAAAGAGATTAGATAATTTGCTGCAATAAGGACAGCAGACAAATCCACTGCTACTATGCAGCAGAGCCAACCAAGTCAGAGTTTTACAAGAAGGGTAGCTCACAACAGTGGAATGAAAATCACTAATACTAATAAAAATCTACAATAACTTTCAAATACATACATACCTCTGCTTGCTAGCAAATATGCAGTGCGACAAACATGCACTTAAAACAGCATGAGGCTGGCAAGGGAAGAATGAACCACTTTTTGCAGATTTGCATGTTTAACATACTTCTGATAACACATGATTAACATACTCAGATACTACAAGGATGAGGGTGTATATATCTAAACAAATATATAAGAGATAGCCAAAAGGCCTGAATGACACAGCCTTTTCCTTTGAAAAACTGAACAGACCTCTTGAATATAGTTCAAGTTATATTTAAAACGCGTTTCCCTTACAGCTTTACAGTTTAGGATTACCAACTCACACCAGTACTTTCTCAACCCCCACAAAAAACGCAGGGAAGAACGAACCACTTTTTGCAGATTTGCATGTTTAACATACTTCTGAAACATACTCAGATACTACAAGGATGAGGGTGTATATATCTAAACAAATATATAAGAGATAGCCAAAAGGCCTGAATGACACAGCCTTTTCCTTTGAAAAACTGAACAGACCTCTTGAATATAGTTCAAGTTATATTTAAAACGCGTTTCCCTTACAGCTTTACAGTTTAGGATTACCAACTCACACCAGTACTTTCTCAACCCCCACAAAAAACGCCATGTACAAGGGCAGAAAAGATGAGACAGAAGTAATCTAATATTTAGACACCTTACTAGACACCGATGTAAACTGCATTTTCAACTGAATGCAGTACACCAGAGAGCTTAAGCAGTTGCTGTATGCAAACGCTAGTTTACACCTAGTGAAAAAACAGCAATTTTCCCAAACGTTGAGTTTTAGGAACAGTGTGCTATGTAAAACCAGTTGCAGGGTTTTTTTTGGAAGAGTGAGTGCTGTAACACAATACATATTTCAAGTAGGGGAAGGAGTATTTCAGACTTTAAACCTAACTCACTATTGCATTACAAACTATGAAGTGTGGCATGTATCTCAAAGTCAAGCAAAAGAGGGCAACATTAAAGACAGTCTCGAGGAAAATGCTTAGTAGTTATAGATGTCACAAGTAAGGACCTACACAGCGGTAACTCCTGAATTGCATGAAAACAATCCCTATCTTAAGCCATATTAACACTGGCAATTTAAATAACAGTGTACTTCCAAAATGCCAGCAATGCCCCAATTTTCCTGTTACCCATTTGCTCACAATTCAATTCACCACAACCATCCCTGCTATATTAGGAAGTAACACATGCGTGCATTCTCTGCTGCTTGCATCCCATGCTTTGAGCTATGTACATACAATTTCAACATAATTAGGGTACCATGTTATCTCAAATCCGTTTTTAATCAATTTAGTATCACTACTCAATGCAGATTAAAATTTAGTTTTATTAATTTCTACTTCTGAAAATGTGAGTGAACTGATAAAAACAGAACGCTAATATTTTGCGCAGGAAAAAAGCAATGGTAACCGAAAATATCCCTACTTTCTTGCTGTTACAGGAATAGAACCAATAGGTCTTTTCCATCATCTTCCATGGCTGACAAAATCCGAATCATAAGCTTCCTAACAGCTTTATCATCAGTTTTATCTTAAGACTCAATCAGCAAATCTAGCCTGAGTTGTATTGGAAATGGGTATTTTTCAAATTCATCATTCTGTAAAATATTTATCAAGAATACTCATGTGCAATCCTTCTAAATGCATATTACTCTAAGTGAACAATTATTTTAACTGGAAAACATGTATTTGCCTCCTAATTAAACAGTTAATAATTGATAACAGATGTTTCTATTCAAATCAGCCGTTGGGGGAAATGTATACTTATAATGATGCATTACACAATGGAAGGCTTTAAACAATCTTGCACAAATGTCTCCTTCCTTGCAAGAGACTTTTAACGATCAGTAGAACATAGATGTCACAACAATTTTTCTTCTGCAGAAGTATGGTTTATGCAAATTCATTCATATTGTTATGAATAAAGCATACATACAGATTAGTCTTCCAAAGGTCCCCCCCCACGCCCCCCAAGTTAAATTTTCCATTAATTTGAGTAACGGATATACTCTGTTGATAAGCCTCGCGACTAAGTTTGCAAAGGGAGACTGAGATGCAAGGACGCAGAATCCTTGAGAACACTTTGTATAAAATTTGACGTTCTTCAAAAGTCAGAACAAACAAAAGCAGTTGTATTATAAATTGTTCATAGTATGTACTGCAACATGCAGTTTAGCTAAACAGATTCACTATTAAGAATGAATTTTTCTCGACACATAGTAAAAACTACATAAGAATGAAAATGATGCCACTTATAATTAAGCATAAAATCATTCTCACCCAGTATTAGTAATAACATTCCCAAAATCCTTTCAAGTGATTTTTATATTTTATTGTAATCAGATAACTGCACGTTTTACAGCATAGTCACATTGTATTTTGCTAGTCACAAACACATTGCCTTACATAATGATCTGCATCATTTCTGCTCTATACTACAAAGCCTATGACTGAATACAAAAAAAGTTTTACAAAAGAAACCGTTTTAAAGACTACAATAACAATAAAACCGTTTCCAGGTTACAGCTAAAATTATAAAGGCATATCACTGTATAGTTTTACTGGAATTTCTAAACAGTAAGGAATGAAATAAGTTTTAGTATCTGCGACGCTTGTTAGGTCCTTCAAAGTTGCCCCCTGGATTTCCTCTACCAAAGCCACCAGGTCCACCACTCACGGCACCTACACCACTCATTGGCGGCTGAGGAGTTTCAGAGCCCGTTCTACTAACCAGAGGTGAACCCATCTGTGATGGACCTCCTTGAGGGAATCTCTCATTATGCTAATACAAGTCCATTTGGAACATGCCAAATGTGAGTTACAACAAAAACCACAAGTGATGTTGTCATGAAGTTCAGCAGATAGTCCAGCAGAATCAGGATCACACATAGAGGGAAGAAAGGAGCAATTCAATTAGTTATTATGGAAAAAGAGGTGGAAATTCAAGAGTGCTAAATGTTATGCTCCAACTTTGTAAAGTAAATTAGAAATTAAAAACTTAATTAAGACCAACTCTGGTGCTGAATGTAACTTTATCCTTTCAAGCACATCTGAACCAATACATATTCTCTATGTACCAGAAGAGACAGCAAACAGTAATTTTATACCTGAGCCCTGTTCTGCCTTACATATGAACTACAATGCTTCTCCCTTAAATAAATTAAGACACAGAAACATTGTAAAAATAGGGCGAGAAAAAAAAAATCAGCTTTTGTATTTCTAGATACTGCATGTTTATTCTTTTAATAGCAATTTAACCTGAAGACTTATACACCCACATATCTGTGTATAGTGTATTTCAGTCCATACTACCTGGAGTCAGCCATTTGTATAGCACTTTTAAAATCCAGTCCAAATAAACTGACACAACTAGTGATAAAATGCGTAACTGGACTATGCTTAGTTTAAAAAAACCTTGATATATAGATCTAAAGCTTAACCTGAAATATCAATATAAGGTGAAAATCCAGTTAATGTGCCACATTTATTTTCCTTAGTTCTGCGTCTAATATTAACAAAGGTGTATGTGCTTACACAGATTTATTTGGCTATAGCAATTAAGACCTAAACCAGAAAACATGCATCTAAGCACTTATAGTTCAGTATTTATGCAAGTGTTTAAAAATAGCACTCCACATGATGAAATTTAAAACAGTAACTCAACATAACAAACCATTAAAAGCACAGATCTATGGTACAACCGATCTGGACATAACTCATCATTCACCTGTTGAGGACAGTTATGCTTTCAGAAGAAATTCCTTCTGTACAGAGATCTACATTAACTGCCCAGGTATACAAAGTTCAACAAGAACATTCAAGACTAACACTTTATTTATATGCCCGAATCAGAGAAGAATTCTTCTGAAAGTCTAACTCCAGTAATAGTAGTAGAGCTCAACAGTTCTAAAGCCTGCTAATTCATACATATGTATTATTTAAAAACAGCATTATATTTATATAGATAAAAATGTATGCAACTTAGATCATGGTTGTATGTTTGTGCATTGTTTAAAATTTGACATTGAATAAGAAAAAAGTTACTTCAACAGCTGCGTAAAGATCTACTACTGCCCCAAAGTACCTTAAAATCTGCAGCGCTGGTTAAAAATTGTTAAAAAATTATCTTTAACTTGTTGCAGCTTGTTAGCAATGGATATGAATTTCAACAAATAGCTTATCACATACTCCTGATAACTTTTACCATTTGACTTTTGGACAAAAAGTCAAGTCCTCTTTCCAGTAAGGGCCCCTCTCTCTCCAGCTAACAAGAAAACTGCAGTAATTAACTGCCTACAATAAAGTATGGGGTGGGGGGAAAGCTATTTTTAAAATGTTATGTTCAAAGATAATCTATGTTTCAAAAGACTGCAGTGAAACAAAAAGAAGATTGCTCCAACTTTCCCCTAAAAGACTTCAGAAAAACATCCAATTTAAAAAATGAAAACTGCATTTCTGGTCTACAAAGCATATTCTCCATTTCTCTCAGTGGACACTGAAATGAACTCTTACAGTGTTTTAGTAGACAGCCCTCAAAGGATGTCTGTCTTTCGAACAGCAGCAAAAACATAATAAGGCTATCCTTTTCTGTAGGGGCCTGTCCCCCTAACTGAAACCTTGAAAGTCCAAAAAGGGGTGGGGGGGGGGAGTATCTAATTTCTCCTTCAGTAGCATGCAGAAGAAAATGGAAGTAAAAAAAAAATTATTTTTAAAAGCATGCATTTTGAAGTGTCAGTATATTCCCTACATTTCCATACCTGGAATGACTTTTTGTAGAAAAACAACAGTTTGAGAAAGATACCATGATTTATGATACCATTTTCTTTTCCTTACACCTCTTTTTCAGTGTCCATATAATCACAAGAGAATGTTTCAGAGGTGACCAGTAACACACTGGTCTCCAGAAAAAGCATCTCTGAAAACACTATTTTGTGAAAAGCATCCCTATGCTTTGTGAGAAATGATACAACTGATAAAATGAGCTGGCTCCTATGATGTGAAGTGAGAGCCTCTCCTTTAACTGGTAATGGCCAGACTCATTATGTATTTTGTGCTCAATCAAAATCTCGTTTTCCTCTAAGGAACAAAGGATTTTGTCCAAACTTCATTATACAGATTGCTCAATCACAGATGGATACTGTTGAGAAGGCATACATAAAGAAATACAGCTACAAAATGCTTCTGTGTTCCAATAAAACTGTAATGGAATCACTGTTTATACTACATACTCCTTTGTATCACACCACCACTAGAACATCCCAAATATCTACTTACAGAATAATACTGAGAAATATGTAAAAATCAGATTAAAAATTATATAGTTGTTTCTCTACATAAGACATTACAGCTAGGAAAAGTGACTGGCTATGAGAACAGAGCATAGTGCTTTAACTGCATCCCAATGGCATATCTGCTCTTGACAAAAAATTCCAGATGTATACAAGACATTCCCTACCACCCTTGGCAACTAGGCAATATAATTTTCCCTGTGTTGATATGACAGTTATTCCTAACAGCTGTTGGCATACTTATTTTCAAAGTGGCATAATTACTGTCATAATCTCATGCTTTCAACACTGTTAGAAAGGAAATACAAAAAACACTAAAGTTGCTTTAAAAAAGTAAATCGTTTACACAAAGATATCTTCACACTATATAGCTTCCAACATTTAACTGTTCATCAAAAACCCCAGCAAATTAATACACAGAATTTAGTTTAAAAAAAAAAAAGTAAATGCCTAAATTTACAGATTACTCTGGTATGTTGTTCCTTCTTCATTTCACAGAAGTGATTTCCTTCTATCAGTTAATTTTTCATGACAGGATATACATGCAAAGTTTTGCCACAAGTGCTGTATATTCTAACCTCAATTTAAAGTCTGGTTGCTGATCAAAGAACTCACACCACTCTTGAGGGAAGCAGGATTTTCATAGTAATATTAAATAAAGATTTCCCTTCTGTGTTGTAAATTATTTGCATCAACAAGTTTTATCAATTACTTTTAAGACATTCAAAACATGTAAAATGTTCTTAGTGTGAAAATATCTTTGGTAACAAAAATGGGCCTTGAGACATGACAGCTATTCAAAGTAATTAAATTTGTGATACGTTACCACTGTTCCATTATCTGGCATCATTGGTGTTCCCATATTTGCAGCTCCTTCTGGCCCCATGGAAGGACCAGGACCCATTGCAGGGCCAGGTAAAGTTCCTCTGTTGTTCATATTCATACCCATCATTGGAGGAGGGCCTTGGTTACCAGCAGGTGCTGGGCTAAACGCATCTATGCAAAACAATCTATACTTAGAGCTGTCCTATCTGAATTTTACAAGAATAAACAAACAATTTACAATATTTAAAAAGCCAAATGTACAAGACTTCCAATAACTTCAAATAAAAATGTTATTCTTTGAGACTGTACATTTATCTCAATCATCTGCTTTTAAACAGATTTTCATTGATCCCTTTTATTTTGCACTACATAATCTGCCTCATGTATTTGAAAATCCTGAACTTTACAGCTAAATATAGCTGTACTGTTTCTGTGCAGGAATCGAAGTGTTCATATAGCATATATATGCAGTACACACACCACAAATTAGCAAAAATCTCAAGTGATTTTGCAGTAATTGGCAGCTATAAGGCAACTTGGCTCTTTAGGGATCATAATGTATTAAATACACATTTGCAAGAACTGTTCTACCAGTACTATGTTAACTGTATATAGTGTTACAGTATATTAGTCTAACATCTAAAAGCAACACCAAAGATCATACTCAACTTTACAATAAATTATTTGTAATATGGCATAAATAATCTTGCATTTAAATTTATTATACTAAAAGTACCAGAAAACCCTTGTTAGAATTGAAAGTGACAGAACAGTCTCCTCCAAAATTCTGATTCACAGTAAGAGGTACAAGAAAAGCTTAACGACTTCTTTTGAGGAGATCACTTAGCTGTAATATTGAGCTAGGAAACACCAGTACCCACTAACATACGCAACAGGTAGGTAAAACTGCCTTCATAACATTTTCTCATGTTGTTATAAGAAAGAAGTGTCATTACATACATCATTTACATCTGCTATTATGAAATATTATCAACTTTAAGACTGGTGGTGATGCAATTCCCACACACACACACAATGATAATCCACCCTTTTCAGCCAAAAGTGTGCGTCCAAAAAGAATTTGATAATGGAAGATGACATGCCTTTGGAATCTAGCCTATGTTTTAAGTTATGACAGCATACAAGAATATAAAGAAATCTGACATGTTGCTAGACTTGTTATTTTGAAAATCAACCTCTCACCTCTCACCACAACTGTAACTTCTTTAGTAATAAATATGTACATGTACCTCATTTTAAGCAGGCCATTTAGCACAGATACAGTACTCTGACTATCTGCATGTATGCAAACTTGCATCTTTATTACCTGCCTTGAGTACATATATCGCAGCAGTAAGTGAAACCGCTGCATCCAAGACACTGCAGCTAAAATTGCAGACCAGGGCTTGATCATATACATTATGCCAACTGCAAGCTGCTTAGCAAAACCAATCCATGCAACACAGTAGCACATGCAAAGTGCTACACAAGTTTATTAGAACCCATAGAGAAAAATCCTGTAATTTTGAAAAGCAGAATTTGAGCTTAGTAACAAGAAACTCCCAAGACTTCTCCCTATGACACTGAGCCAAAACAAAGGTATGCGCAAGTCAGACGCTTCTGACCTACCCACAAGCATGATCAGTTCACGTAGCAGGTAGAAGACTGTGCTACTATTCAAGAGAATTACAGTTGAATATGCCCTAAAACTGTTTTTTAGTGTCATCCATTCAGTGACTAAATATGGAAGGAAACAGAGAAGTCTAAACTGCCAATGTAAGGAGAAACCTTTATTTTCAGGGGCTAGAAGTACTCTGCAGGACTATCACAATGGCAGTGCTTAGTGCTGGTAGCAGTGCCATTAACTAAAAGCAGTCAATGCTCAGTTACCTGTAACTGGCTGGCTTACCAGCCTAACTGAACCCAGCCAGCTGGCCACACTTGGGTAAGCGTTCGCTTATCTTTCAACTGCAACAAAGTTCTTAACCTCTGTATCATACAAATGCACCCATATTGCTTCCAGGGTGATGTATAGTGACCTATACTATCAAAACTCTGTATTATTAAGCCAGTTTCAGGCAGAGTCAGCTGTGATATGAGGACAACTAGAGAGTGCAATGCAAGGAGAGAGTGGGGCCCTGCAGAGTTTCAACAAGAGGCCACAATGGCAGTTTAGCTATACCTCAGAGGTCCTCCTAGCTCCAAGGCAGACCCTAAGAGCTAACCACTTACTTAACTGCCCTTTCTTTTTGGTGGCACACAGTAATTAATTCACTGGACCAGGTTCAGCAACAGGTGGAAAGCAGTGTTCATGCCACAATGCACAAGACTAAAAAAAAATGTCTTTTTCTGCAATCTGGAGGGCTGAAAAAGTACACTCTAAGTGTCCAAACTGCATATGCCAAGGTCTGGCATGGCTGGCAACAAGACACAGTCAATAATCCTTACCAATGCAGAGACAGTTCCCAAAAAAGCCTTCCCTTCCCCCCCCCCCCCCCCCACCACCAACCA